GTGCGTCTCTCCCCATTTGCCCCTGTGTCCATTGATTGCCTGCGTTGGGCCGGGTCTCGGGGTGGTTCTATCCCTTATTATGTCTGTGTCTCTGGCTCTGACCCTCCCTGTCTCTGTGTCCCTCCCTGTCCTCCCGCTCCTCTCTCCCCTCTCCCTCCCTCTGTCTCTTGCTCTCACTTTCTGAACCTCTTTGTCACTTTATCTCCTTCCCCTCCTTGTCACTCCCACCCAGGTCCCCCCAGGGATCCCCTAAATCCAGTATTCCTGCAGAACCATCAGAGGACAGCCAGGCCTCAGCTGCCTTCTCCTCTGGAGCAAAACTCCCCAGTGGAACCCTGAGTGCCATACTCAGGGCGCCCCCCTCCATCTCCCAACTTCTCCGGGACCCTAGCCCTTCCTTGGCCTGCCCCCACCCACCCACCTAGACCGCTTCCTGTCAGGAGCCCCCCTGGACCCCACAAGCGGAAGGCTGGAGAGTCCAGGTAGAGAAATTCCCCTTGTAGGAAAAGGACACAAGTGAGACAGAGGAAATTCAAATTTCCCTTCACTCGGGCGGGGGTGGGAGGAGGAGCAGAGAAGCTGCCATAACTCAAAACCCAAAAGAGGAAGCAACCCTGGATTGAGAGATGGGAAGAAAGCCCTGCTCTGCCCAGACCAGCCGGGTGGACACTGGTCAGTCCTTGAGCTGCTCCAGGACCCAGTGGGAAGATGGACTGGGCAGTTGGTCTCAGGCCTCCGCCAGCAGGCCAGGAAATGCAGGGGGATTTGGGTATAGGATGCCACACTGGGCTCGAAGTTCTAGCATTGGGCCCTGCTGGGGAATTACAGAGAGAAAAACCATAATGATACTGGCTCAGGTTAATGCGAAGGTGCTAAATGCTTCCGTTATGTAAATGGTTTATAACGAAGACGTGTGGTGTCCAAACCAAGAGCGACAGCATCACCTATGCAAATTCTAGCACCTCCATCTATTGTCTATTGACACTCTGGGAACGGAAAAAGCCCAGTCGTCAGCCCAGCAATCGGGTGTTTGAATGAGCCAACCGGAAGATTCCGAGGTTTGCCCGAGTTGGAGAACCCACTGCCTTGGACCAACGTTGTTCCTTCACCCCTGCAGACCCTCTGACTGGAATGTTCTTTCTCCACATTGGCAGCCAGCCTCAGCTCCCACCATCCTTCTGGGTCTAGATGATGAACGGGGCATCAGCCTTTACTTTACTCTTCTGAAACCCCACTGCAGAGACAGTTCAGTGATTATTCTAAAACCCAAAACAAGCCGAAACCGGTTTGGCTCAGTGGATAGAGCGTCGGCCTGCGGACTGAAAGGTCCCAGGTTCGATTCCGGTCAAGGGCATGTACCTGGGTTGCGAGCACATCCCCAGTGGGGGGCGTGCAGGAGGCAGCTGATCAATGTTTCTCTCTCACCGATGTTTCTAACTCTCTATCTCTCTCCCTTCCTCTCTGTAAAAAATCAATAAAATATATTTAAAAAATAAAAAAATAAAAAAAATAATAAAACCCAAAACAAGATGGCTAGCCAGCAGGGTGGAAAGCCAAATATTATTTGCCTCTTGGAATTTCACCAGCACCATCCCCCAAAGTTCAGTTATTGGTGACTCCCGCCGCTGAAGGAGGGGGTGATGGGTGGCCACTAAAACAGAAGAGTTTACTGAAAGTCAGTTCCCAAAAGAGACATCAGTGTTTCTCCGGTTAACCAACAAATAAAAGGCCTCTTAAAGCGAGTGGAAACAAGCATTTATTTGAAATAAACAAGAATAGCTATTCGGGATGCACCAATTCAGGCAGAAAACCAGTCTTCCTCCCACTTAGGAGACAAAGGCAAGGGGTATTTATGAGAAGGGAAGGGGGACAGTTACATCAATAGGCGGAAGGCATTTCTATTGGTACATTTAACAGTGTTGTTAACGCTAAACAGTGTGTTTAATTTTTAGTCCAGTAAGTCATTCTATCTGCTTTCTTTTTAAAATATATTTTTATTGATTTCAGAGAGGAAAGGAGTGGGAAAGAGAGAAATATCAAATGATGGAAGAGAATCATTGATCAGCTGCCTCCTGCGTGCCCTCCACTGGGGATCGAGCCTGAAACCCAGGCATGTGCCCGGACTGGGATTCAAAGAACCTTGACCTCCTGGTTCATAGGTCAACGCTCAACCACTAAGCCACACCAGCCAGGCTATACCTGCTTTCTTTACAAACAGTTTTTTGGGGGGAAACAAGGCTTCTTAAGCCCAGCCCCAAGATTATTTGGCCCTTTTTTTTAACTTTCCAAAGGTTTGAGACATAAGATGTGCACGGAAGTCTCTCTAACATGGCAGCTCCAGCTCCATTTTGAAATAGATCCTTTTTTTTTTTTTGACACTTCTCATCGAGGTGGGAAAGTATCTGTTTTCTTTTGTCCTCCAAAGCGCGGAAATAGCAGTGTTTCTGGTCAGAGGAACAGCAGTTATCGACCGAAAACATCTCTCTGAACACAGGACTATTGAGCAAACCTGTGAACCTGAATGCAGGCGCTAAAACTTCCCCACCACAGCCCTCGCCCCGCTCAGCATCGGGACCCAGAAGATGGGACGCTGACAGACCCATCTCTGAGGAATCTGACCGACCAGGAAGAAAGCTTTAAACATGCTGAGGCCACAGCGCCCTCCCCTCGATATCACTGCCCTGCTGAGAAGCCAATCTGTTTATTATTAACCCCTTGCCCACAGCGGGCGGCAGACAAAGATTGCCTAAGCTGACAAAAAGAACAAAAAGAGGAATTCAGAGGACTCCAAAGGTCACCATCTCAGACAACCCAAATGAAAGTGCCCCTCCCTCAGCCCTGTTGCATCACCCACCAAATTTCCTTACTAGCGCTTTCTGCCATCTAGAATATTCTTATTTACTTGCTTACTATTACTTTTTCCACAAAAGTGTTATCTCCTGAAGAGGAGCATCTTCAACGGCTAGTTTCCAGTCTACCTCTAGTGCCTAGAGAATGACAAGCCTCAGTAATATTTATGGAATGAGTGAGTAAGTTAATGAGTTACAGCAATTAACAGCATCAGCTCTAGAGATCAACAAATGACAGTCTGAAAACTATGAATTTTTTGTTGGATTGTCTTTTGTTTTTAAGTGGCTGGTAAAAGTCAAAAGAATAAGCCTATTTCCTGACATACAAATGATATGAAATTCAAATGTCAGTGTCCACAAATAAACTTCATTGGCACACAGCCACACTCCTTCATTTACATATTGCCTGATGGCAGCTTTTGCAATACTACAGCAGAGCTGAGTAGCTGTGACAGAGACTGGCCCACAAAGCCAATATTTACTCTCTCTGGACCATTTTCGAAAAATATTGGCCGCCTCAGCTCTCAAATTTCTTGCTGAGCCTTATTTTTTCACATCTGTTAAGTGAGAACAATAGTGGATCTCAAAGGGCAGTGGGGAGCTTGCTGTAGGCAGTGACAGGCACTTTGCGAGAATTCAGAAAAGGTGAGGAGCGGTCATGCTCGCGGCATCTTTTCGGCAGCTCTGGCACACCATCATCCCAAGATGTGGATGCAGAAACTGACCTCACAAGTTGAAGTCACTCAACCAAAGAGGCACAGTGAGTGTTCTGAAACCCTTTTCCACACAGAGGGGCTTAGTATGGCTCTGTTCACTCCCTCCAGGGAGGGGAAACGAAGTCTGGCAGCCTGGGGAAGGCTCAGGCCGCAGCCAGGGAGCACCATGACGTGCAGCTGTGGTTGGGACATCTGAGCCAGGCAGCCCCACCCACCATGGAGCTGTGGGCATTACCTTCCTAACACCTCTGTGCTCAGCTGTCTCCCTGAGGTGAGCGTGGGCCCATTTTCCTCATCGCTAGGGGTAGGGCCTGAATCCTCATGCTCAACAATCATAGAGCTCAAGGGAGGGATGGGGCAGGAAGTCGTTGAAGGGGGAGCCCCCATCTTCTACCTCTGAGGCCCAACAAACAGGCACCTACTCCAAGAGGTGTGCCTTGATTTTTTTCTAGAAAACTTCATTTCCTTTTCTCTGGGTTTCCCATTGTCCCCATCCCCTGGATGTGGCCTCGCCCAATGTCAACTTTACTGTCCTGGATCCTCTGTGTCCCCCAGGGCAGAGGCCAAGCCTAACAGAGGATGGTAGTGATGTTTGCTGAGTGAGTGTACAAGCTAGTGAGCAAAGGACCAAATTGGGGGGCAGGGGATGTGAATTGAGACAAAGAGAAAGGGGAAAGGAAAGAATTCAATGAGGCCTGTGAGAGTGGTAACATGTGCTGAAGGAGAAAAGAGGTACAGAGAGGGGAATTACTTTGCCCACGTTAGTCAAGTCTCTCAAAAAGCTGGGTCCTAGATAGGCCGGGAAAACACAGGGCCAGCACACGTGCATACCTGTCGTGTTGTGTAAATGTTGCAAGGCATGGTGATGCAAAACACTGAAGCTTCGCCCTAGCTCAGCCGTAGACAAACTACAGCCCGCGGGCCGGATCCGGCCCGTTTGAAATAAATAAAACTAAAAAAAAAAAAAAAAAAAAAACCCTACCCTTTTATGTAATGATGTTTACTTTGAATTTATATTAGTTCACACAAACACTCCATCCATGCTTTTGTTCCGGCCCTCCGGTCCAGTTTAAGAACCCATTGTGGCCCTCGAGTCAAAAAGTTTGCCCACTCTTGCCCTAGCTGGTTTGGCTCAGTGGATAGAGTGTTGGCCTGCGGGCTGAAGGGTCCTGTGTTTGGTTCTGGTCAAGGGTACATGGCCAGGTTGCGGGCTTGATCCCCAGTAGGGGGCGTGCAGGAGGCAGCCAATCAATGATTCTCTCTCCTCATTGATGTTTCTATCTCTCTCCTCCCTCTCCCTTCCTCTCTGAAATAATAAAAATATACTTTTTAAAAAACAAACACTGGCCGAAACCGGTTTGGCTCAGTGGATAGAGCGTCGGCCTGCGGACTCAAGGGTCCCAGGTTCGATTCCGGTCAAAGGCATGTACCTGGGCTGCGAGCACATCTCCAGTGGAGGATGTGCAGGAGGCAGCTGATTGATGTTTCTCTCTCATTGATGTTTCTGGCTCTCTATCTCTCTCCCTTCCTCTCTGTAAAAAATCAATAAAATATATTTTAAAAAAATAAAAAATAAAACTCATCTCCCAGGAGAACTCCTTCTTGGGGTTCATAAATGAATAAAAAAAATAAAATAAAATAAACAAACACTGAAGCTTTGTGGAGTTGGGGTGCATCCCAAGCTACTTTGGACTTGTGTGTTTCCAATGTGATGTTTCGTATTCAGAGATAAGGAAAGGGGGCTCCATGTGTTCACAGATGTGTTTCTAATTGAGAAACAACAAATAGCACAAGATCCAAACTGTGGGGCTTCAAATCCCAGCTCTGCCTCTTGCTAGTTGTATGATTTTGAGCAAATTCTTTCACCTCTCTGTTCCTTGCTTTTCCTATCTGGGAAGTGTGGCTAACAATAGTGACCACCTCACAGGATTATTGTCAAGAATAGGGAATCAGAACAACAAAGTGACAACAAATACATATCTATCAACAAGTGAATCAAAAAACCTGATGAACAGAATAAACTGGTGAATGTAATAGAATCAGGAGCATGGAAATGGAGCAGACTGACAATTCTTGGGGGAAAGGGGGCTGTAGGGGGGTGCGGGAAGAGATTAGACAAAGATCTTACATGTATGTGTGCAGTACCTATGGACGCGGACAGTGGGGTGGCGAGGGCCTGGGGTGGCGTGGGAACCAGGCGGAGGGGAGCTATGGGGGAAAAAAGAGGGACATCTGTAATAATCTGAACAATAAAAATTAAAACAAACAAACAAAAGAACAGAAAAAAACAACAGGGAATCAAAAAAAAAAAAAGCAATAGGGAATCAATAGCATTTGGCATACAGTAGGCATCATGATTGCCGATGGGGCTGACAGTCTGGTAGCTCTATATGATTGTATGCAGGGGTTGATCTTGTGAATGAACAACCAGGATCCAAAAACTAGTGTGGACATCTATTGCAAAGATGTTCTGATGAAAATAGCCAAAACAATAATCGAAAGTGAAATTGGTTATTGTTTGAAAATCAGTTCAGTAATCACAGGTGTGAAGGTTGAGTCATCTCTTTGGGGCTAACAGAAATCTCTAAGGGTTAAAAAATAAAGTGCTACATGCAAAATGTGGGGTTTGTTTCAGAGCAGAGGTACATTTGCGGAGTGCATTTCTGGAAGGTATAAAAGAAATGTGGGATTTGGGCTGAGAGAATTTGGGCCTTTTGCTGTATGTGCTTTCACCCACTTGCATTTTCCATGTGCTACTGTTTGTTTTGGGGTTTCTGTATTAACCATGGAATAGTGGTCAAGTACACACACACACACAAAGAAAGAAACCAGTGGCCTGAATGCTTTGGAAGGGAAAATTTAGCCCCAGTGACATCAAAGACAGGAAATGGTGTTTCCCTGGTAAGGACAGAGTAATATAGAGATGGGGAACACCCAGGCAGACCAGAGCAGGGCCCCAGGGACCCCTAAGAGGGGCCCCTTGTGAGAAGCCAGCTCATTCTGCTGGGAAGCAAGCCAGCCTGCCCTCGGAAGGAAGTCTCAGCTGGGCTACCACCTGGAAGGGACTCTCCAACTTTCCCAGAGGCAACTGCCACTAAGACAGGTACAAGACACCCCTATTGCAGTTATACAAATGAAACAGACACACACAGAGACCTACACAAATTCTCTCTCTCTCTCTCTCTCTCTCTCTCTCACACACACACACACACACACACACAAATCTACACACACATCTGGACACATACCTATAATTATAGACACACAGGAGCAGCCACCAAAGCTAGCCCACAAGCACACACAGGGACATATCTCATCAAGCACAGGGAGAACAGAGCAGTCGCACACACTATCACACACACACCAAAACAGACATGGAGCTACACAAAACGGGCACACACTGAGACAGATGCCCAGAGACAATAATAGATACACAAGAGCAGACACACAAGCTAGCCACCAGCAGACACAAGGACACACTCATGGCCATGGTCACATATACCCACTAAAGCAAAGCCTCAGAGGGACTCAAACACTCTGGGGTGGGCGGAGACACAGCAGGCAAATCTGCAGAGACCAGCAAAAGACACAAAATGCAAGGTAACACAACCCAAGGAACCCAGGCCTTTCCCACAGTAGAGACCCAGGCTCCATCCTTCAAACCGCCCAAGATCCTCCACCTTCTAAAAGGAATCCAGGCTCTCCTTCTGAGTGCCCATCCCGCCCTCGAAGAACCTCGGGGTCCCTTTTCTTTCTTTCTTTTTTCTTTTTTTTTTTTTTTTTTTTGAGAGAGAGAAGATGTTTATTAAAGCTGGGGACCGCTGGGGGCTTGGTGTAGAAGCAACAGGAGAGAGCCTAGCAATACTCCGCTCTGGGAAAAAGCCTGGCAGTGCTCTGCTTTGGCTAGAAATGTTATAGGAAAGAAGTGAGCCACGGTGGGCTGCTTTTAGCTCACAGCAAAGACAGAGAAAAGGGGGCCTTGGAAACAGGTTCAGGGGGGAAGCCCCGGATGAGCTACTGCCGCCTGTTTCTCCCCTGGTTGCAAGTTTTGTGGGGGCCCTTAGAGCTTAGGAGAGAAAAGCAAAGATGCACGCCTGGGAGGGAAGAAAAGCCTGGGCGTGCTCCAGAGAGAGCCGGTTCCGGGTTCCTTTTCTCATCAGCAGCGCCCAGTGTAGGCCGCGGGCGCCCCCTGGTGGACCAGGAGCTTCAGTCCAGAGCTGCACGGATTTGGCGAGGAGAGGGCGTCTAGAGGGCGTCTGAAAGGAGGAAAAGATGCATCTGGGGTCTCCCGCCTCAAATCCAAGGCCTGCAGAGGAAGGAGAGTGGGGTGAGGGAACAGCGGACGGTCCGGGGCCGGGAAAGGCAGGGTCCTTGACGCTAAATAGAGCTGAGTTTAGCAGGAGCGGGACAGAAGACCCTCACCCGCCCCTACTCCACGCCGCTCCAGGTCCCGCCGGGCTCCTGCTGGGCTGGAACCCGAGAAGACAAAGTGAGACCAGAGGCGGGTTCCCATTGGTCCGCGCCCGACCAATGAGGCGCAGAGAGGGCACCCGGTAGGGCGGGGCGATCGTTGACTCAGAGGGAAGGATTCCGTCCCGCCCAGCAATGGATCTCAGCCAGCAAATGACCACCAAGGAATCGCCCTAGATGTGGCCTCTCCAGCATAGAGTTATCGCCAACTCCGACGTCACTTTGACCCGCAGGATCCTGAAAAAGGTGGGCCCGCCCCTTCCAGGGTTGACCCGGGTCCCCCCAAGCCCTGCCCACTCCCCCGTCCCGCTCATTTTCCGTCATTATAGCTAAGCCCCGCCCACTTTGCCAACCCTCTCCTCCCCCCTCCCCCCCAGTACCACCCACTTCCCCGTCATTCTCCCTGGGCCCTGCCCACCTCCCCGGTCAGGTGCCTCTTGCTCACGCTCCTGCCTCACCCACTTTTCTATTTTTCTTGGTCCAGCACCCCCTCTCCCCAGGCTCCGCCCTTCCATGGACTCCTGTCTAAAATCCTCCCTCCTTCCTTGGGTTCCACCTCTCCAGAGCCCAGTGCCTGCTCCCCAGGCCGAGCCTTCAATCCATCCCCAACCCTAATCTGACTTCCCTGGGGACCTAGCGGCCGGTGGGTCTGACCATTTCGTCTCATTCCTTTAGGCTCCTCCCCTTGTGCGCCGCCCTATCTTCTTCCAGGCCCCACCCACACTATCAAGACCTTTTTTTGTCAAGTTCCTGGTGTGGGATGGAGCCTCCTAGCTAATGGACAGAGAGAGGCCTCAGTTTCCCCAGCCCTGCCCTTCCAAGGGAAAGCCCCTTCCTCTTGGCCGTCTAACTACCGCCCTGCAGAGGGACCCTGCCCCTGCCCACGTGGTCTGCACCAGCCCAGCCCGCCTCTTCCCGCGGTAGCCCCGCGAGGCTCTAATACCAGTCCGAGGCTCTAATACCAGTCCGGGTGGCAGCGCCCCCCTACACACACCCCACACCCACAGTCGATAAATTTATCACACAGGGTGTTAATGGGCCTTGCCCGACATGGTGATCTGGTTACCAGTGCCTGTGGCTGAGGAACCCCCGCAGATCAGTCCCGTCCCATTCCCTGCCACACTCCACCGCCAAGATGTTGGTGCTGTGGACATGCTATGTCTGCTGCTGGGTGAGCCTCCTTCCTCCCCTCCCTCCCCCTACCCCCAGCTTTGAGACACCCGTGAGGCCGTGGAGGGGTCTGTCTGCCTGTCTTTCTGTCTTATCCAAGGGCGGCTAGACTGGAGACTGTGGTGTGTCTTCACATCTGTGCATTCATCAGCGTATTTCTGGGATGTCTGGGTCAGCGTGTGTTTGTGTGAATGGGAGAGAAAGGGATTGTACACAAAAGTGACTTCTGTGTGTTTACCTGTCTTCCTGGGTCTGGATGCTGGGGTCAGCAGCTGGCTGTGGGTTTTTTTCTTTTTTTCAGTCTCATGATTTTATCTTCTCCCTTCAACCATTTTTGTCTTTTTGTTTTTTCATACTGTTTTATTTAGTGTATGTCTTTTTATATTGAATGTATTGGGGTGATATTGGTTAATAAAATTACAATAGGTTTCAGGTGTATAATTCTGTAACACATCTGCTGTATGACTCTTTGAGTTGCATATCTGGTTCCATCTATGTGTCTGGGGGTTGTCTGTTTTATATGTGTATTCATGTGAATGTATGATTCCATATTTGTGCTCATGCATGTGTATTTCTGTGTGTGCATACAACTAGGTCTGGCTGTGTATGTACAGGGTGTAGAGTGTATCTGTGACTCCATGTGTGTGCGTGTGTGTGTTTGGGTCTGTGTTGTGTGTTGTGTTGTATTGGCTTGGGGGAGGTATGGTTACTGTGTCCTATGCTTACACTTGGTCTATGGGAGCCTTTTCATGCATCTGGGTTGGGAGTGGATCCAATGGTATTTGCGTAGTTAAGTGTGTGTCTGGGTCTATATGGACCTATGTGTGTTGTGAGTATATTGTTACATTTTGTGACTATGTGTGTATATCCTAGTGGGCAAAGTTAGTGACTAAAGCCCCCTTGCTGGGGAGGAGAGTCCAGGCTGGGACACTTTGAGCTTCCAGCCCAGGAAGGGAGTTGGGAGCTGTGAGCAGCTGGGTTCCAACTGCCTAGCTCCACCAATCTACAGTGGGCGAGAGAATGACAGGGTCAAAAGAAGGGTGGCAGGCCTGGAGGTAGGCTCATAAGAGTGCATGGGCCTAACAGAGAGCCTGGCACCTGCTGGAGACAGGCCCCCTGCCCTTCCTGACCTTAAGATGGTGGGGTCAGGGGCCTGGACCCTGCTCACACACATTCACACCAATATCTCCTAGATCAAGCATGTCAACGTCACGGCCTGCGGACCACATGCGGCCCACAATGAATATTTTTGCGTCCCAGCCAATATAACAGTATGTAAGAGACGTTTTAATAAAAATTTTGTAACTTAATTTTTACAATATCCTGTTACACATAATTACTAATAACGAACTACAACATTCTCTAATGACTGATTACTATAATCATGCATTCATTTCCCTTACGTGTCTTACACGCAGGCGCACCATTTCTCCCCACTAATACTAACAGCGAATATTTTAGCAGCCGATTGCCACGTCATTAGTCTTAGACTGACTTGTTTGGTGTGAGCAACAGGAAATATTTCGCTTATGGAGGACAAGAAAAATAGCTTTATTTGCATTACACTTAATAATTTGTGCAGTTATTCAGTGTCTGTTACGTTAATGTTCAAGAAAAAATATTGCCCTAAACGGTTTGGCTCAGTGGAGAGAGCGTCAGCCTGTGGACTGAAGAGTCCCAGGTTCGATTCCAGTCAAGGGTATGTACCGTGAGTTGCAGGCACATCACCAGTAGGGGTGTATTTATTTCAGCCCTTTGTATTCAGCATGTCTCTATCGAAATAAACCTACGTTTCTATGAAGATTGAAGCTTTTGGTTTTTTGCGGCCCACATAAATTTAAACCTTGTGTATTTGGCCCATATTAGCCTTTGAGTTTGACATGCTTGTCTTAGATCAACCAGCCACAGAGCCATAGAGATAGGCATGAACACACACACAGATCCCAGACATGGATGTGTGGGTTGTGCACACTCCAGCACAACCCACACATCCATGAACACATGCATAATCTTACATACACTGATATCACAAAAAAGAGCATATATACCCACACATGCACCTATGTGCACCACAAACACCTATTCACAATATACATACACATGAGGCATGACGTGTGCACATACCAAGTCATGTGTATCTGCATTCATGTAGATCCCCAAGCACACAGGTGTGCATGCCAGAACAAACCACACACTTCCAAAAATACGTGGCCACATAGTCTCCTACACACCAAAAAAGACACAAGAAAGTTCACACCAATTTACGGCTACATAGAATTACACATTCACCAGGAAACATACATCTACATATATTCATACAGCCACACTAGGAAACAGACATGCTCAGAGACATAACTCTTGTAGCAGGTGACACAGACATAGATATCCATAAGCACCTACACACACACACACACACACACACACACAGATGCATAGACATGCACACTGCCACAATCATCCACACATACATCAGGACTGACACAGAAAAAGTGAACCCTTGTCCCCTCATTATCCTAACTCCTTACCTACCTCATTCACAGGATCTGCCTGTGAAAGGTGCCTGGGGTTCTCTCCACCTCTGGCCTTCTGGCCAGACCACTCCCCCTACCTTCCCACCATGTCCATATTGTGGAGACGTAGGGAGGACAAACTAACCCAGAATGCCTAAGGAGAGTAAGCTCAAGTGACCTGTCCCTGAGTAGGGTCTTGTCTGCCCGCTGCAGTCAGCATTCCCACCCAGCTGAGTGAGAGCAGTTTGCTGGTACCCCACATCCGGGTCATCTTTGCAATGAAACCACCATCACATGCACCCTGGTGGTTCATTACATTGTTGAGGACTCAGCACTCATTACCATGGTCTTCTCATCTCCATCTGCATGGTAAGGGGCCGGCCACTTTCACCCCATGCAGCAGTGAGGTGCCACAGGCAAGCTTCAGCCCTTTTTCTGGCAAAGTGGGGAACCCCACCCATTACAGGCCTAAGGCAGGAGGAAGTGCCACCTCTTTTCCTAATGAAATGGGGAATCTTGCTGCTCGGTGGCATAGAAGAAATCTTTTCCCCGAGGAAAAGGTAAGGCTCACCCCTTGCTGACACAGAAGAGGGGAAATGCCAGCCTCTCAGCCTTGGGCATGCAACAAGAGCATCCCCTCTCCTCCAGTGAACAAAGAAGTCCACCTCTTACATGCATAAAACAGGAAGCAATCCTGCCCGCTTTGGGGGAGTTGGGAAATATTCCCCTTTCAAACAGAGGGAACATCCTGCCTCTTTCTTGTGGTAAAAAGGGAAGTCCTCCCATTTTCAGTCATTCAGGAGGTCTATCCTTTTCTCCTGGTGTAATAGGAAGTCCTGCTCCTTTCGGATAGGTGACAGGAAACCCTGCCTACGCCTGACATAAACTAGGCGCCATCCAACCCTTTTCCTGGGTAACAGGAAGTCCCACCTCTTTCAGATTTGGAACTCCTGCCCCTGTCTGAGGTAAAATAGGAGGATGTCCCACCCCTTTTCTTGAAATGGGGAGCCATGCCTCTTGCTTTAGTAAAATAGGAAATCTGCCCATTTCAGGGACAGGGGTGGGAGAAGGCCCCAGTGTGCTGTGTGTGTGTGTGTGTGTGTGTG